GTGTGTGTGTACATGCCTGTAACCGAGTTTAAATTTCCCCCACCCCTTCCTGTCAAGGCCGCACTTTGACTGACAGACGCTCACTCACCGACAGACGCACACTCACTGACAGACACACACTCTCATATACACTGACAAACAATGACATACACACATACACTATTACTTGGACACACACTGACAGATGCACACTCTCACTGAAAGATGCACGACTCCACTGACCGACACATACACACTGACCGACACACACTCACTGACCGACACATACACACTCACTGACCGGCACACTCACTGACCGACACACTCACTGACCGACACACACTCACTGACCGACACATACACACTCACTGATGACACATACACACTCACTGACTGACACATACACACTCACTGACTGACACATACACACTCACTGACTGACACATATACACTCACTGACCAACACACACATTCACTCACAGACACACACACATTCACTTACAGACACACACAATTACACACTTACAGACACACACACACACACACACACACATTCACTTCAAAATAAACACTCACAGACACACACACAGACATTTCCACTAACACTCACAAACTAATATTTTTTACATTTATTTTAAATCCACCCAGCCTCCCTGGGAAAGCTGTAGTGGATTTCTTACCAGCAGTCCAGTGTGGCTGCTGGGCAGGCAGGGGGCGCACAGGCTGAGTAAGCAGCGCTTAGTGATGCTGGGAGCCGGACTGACGTCATATTCTGGCTCCCGGCTTCATTAAGCGGCGCAGAGGAAGCTGAGCAGGAAGAGCTCAGGTGAGTATGCTCCTTCGCTGCCCGCTGCCAGCCTTGGGGGGGCTCAAAAGTGGCCAGCCGGTCAGCTCTTGAGCCCCCAGGATGCGAGGCAAGCAAGGGATCTGCCTGGGGGTTTGGAGGGATGCTTTTTTTTGCCGCCCCCTGCAAAGTGGCGCCCAAGGCAGATGCCTTGTTTGCCTCGTGATACACACGTCCCTGGTGCCTGTGTGTGTTACTGTATTCAGGCAACTTGGTGGGAGGTGGGGGGGGCGCCGTGAAGACTTTTTGCACAGGGCGCCTAATTGCCTAAGGCCGGCCCTGCACACACAGACTCCAGACACTACGACCACTTCAAAGCACTGAAGTGGACATGGTGCTTGGAGTAAGCCTTTAACTATATTTTCATTTCAACCACAAAAACGTTTAGATGGACATATAGATATAGACATAAATAAAGATCTAGATATATGTTGCTATCTGAATTGGCTGCTGAAATAAATATTATAGTCAGTCCATTCACAAAGAATAACATTTAAATGATATTATAAAGCCAGCACCTTTTAATGTTTTAACTTTGGAGAGCCTTATGATTTAGGAGCCTGTTATATCTATTGCATTTGGCCTCCCTGTCTGTCTAATGTTTGAAGCATAATTAAATCATTGGGTAATAATTAAAGCTTGAGGCTTTTAGTAATGCCAATTTAGGAAAAAGTCATGCAGCAGGGTTTGTAACGGACATGTCACCTCCTTGCCAACTTCACCCAGTGTGAAAGAGATGGTCAGTTGCAATGGCAGATATAAATTGTCTTTTACTGAGACTTTGAACTATGTTATCTGAGCTTAAAGCTGAATTAACCTCTGGTGCTGTGAAGGCCTGTGTATTAGGTGATCATAATATTATTACCGAACGCCAATTCATCATTAGTAAGAATGGATCTGAAAGTTATTTTTGGACTCTCTCCTTTTTGAATGATTGTCATGTATTTTCAATATTATGCAAAGCTTGATGGTTTAACTGCGGACTCATCATCAAAGATAAATGTCTCTCCATATTGACTTTTATTCAGTACAGATTTACATTCATAATCTAAACCAAACATTTCAATGTTAGGTTTGTGTTTGTAGTTCCAGCAGACAGAAGAAGCAGCAATGGGTCTCACTGTAATTTTAAAATGGCACTCTTGGCAATATATTGATTAGAGTTCCCTGGCATTGCCCACCTGGGTTACTTTCAAACCATTTTACGACAAATTGAAAAAAGAAACAGGCCTCTTCCTAATGCCCAGATACCACCCTAGCCTCAATTATTGATGTTAATTTTGTCCCACCTTGGTGACATTAACTGAGTAACTTGTAATCTCAACCAATTGCAGCTTATGCAAATAACGTATTGCTGCCCGTTAATGTTGCATTAAGTCTGGATCTTGAAGGGACACTTAAGGTCCATCAGTAGACTTTTAAGAAACAGCTTCACTAAGGGACAGGTTCACTGCAACACTGAAGTCTACCGACGCAACTGCAACATTACAAACCAGCAATGCACTTATTTCCAGTAACAGAATTATATATTTTTTTTCAATTTAAATTTTTAAAAGGTTTATTAAACATATTTATTCAGAGGGTACAAACCCTGACAGATAAATGCCGCATTATCCACATATCAAATATAATGAAACGGTCTACAGCCCAACTGACATTAAGGTACAACGTTAATGTCAAATGCCTCTGTAAGAAAAGACAAGAAAATGGCTAAAAACATGAAGAGGTTTAATGAAGACTGAGAATAATTCAGAAATAAAGTAATAGGTACTTGAAAATAAATCTCAAAAAGATTTGAATGGATGGGGGAAAGAGTAAAGAGATGGGGTTACTCCATAAGGTCCATGACAGCAGTCCTACACACAAGCATGGGCAACAAGGGTGTCACAATGAAGTTGTACTCCATGGTCCCATATTTTGAGAAAAAGCTCCAAAATATGGTGGTTAGTTACTTTTTCTATAGTGAACAAATATATATTTTAGCAATCTCCTTAGCAAGGAAGTTACTTTTGATTACGTAGTGAAACAGGTTAACCTGCGTGAGAGTTTCCATATAGTTTTAGAGAGCTGGCACTGTTTGGACAGGAGGGCTATCCATGGGTCAGGGGGAGAGGTGGGGACTGGGGGGAAGAAAATTACAAGGATCACGTTAATAAAGGCACATCTAAGCCCAGTAAATTTAAAGTTGATGTTAAAGGGACACTATAGTCACCTGAACAACTTCAGCTTAATGATGTCAGAGGACAGGAACAACGAGGAGGAGCCGAAGTCAAGGGATGCCAGAGGTCAGAGTAAACGATGTCAGAAGCCGGGGTCAATATGAAGCAGAGTAACAATAGACAGGCACACTGGTACGGAACACACACAACAGGATCAAAGACTTGATCCAGATCACAGGGCGAGGCTGAGTTTATATACCCTGCTGATGTCTGATCAGGGTCAGGTGAAGCACAGCAGTAGTCAAGGTACAGCCCCCAGTGCTGTAGACAAGCCAGGAAGAACAGGACCGGAATGGCTTCATGATAAACAAGGCTGCTGTGGCTCAATGGTAGAAAGCAGACACAGGACTGCCAAGTTTCCAGGTTTGAACCTGACAAGATTTACAGCTTCTGGCTTGAATACAGTAAGATTTTTACTATGTTTATGGAGGCACTGGTGACTACAGTGTCCCTTTAAAACCAGTAGGCAATGACCTACAAACCTCTGTAATCAGGGTCCTCTGGATGTGGTGGTAAAGTACTCATTTGTAACATTAATCACAATAAAAGGAAAACATGCCTTTTATTTTCTCCACTTAACACATACTAAACAAACCAAATTAGGACAAAATCATGTTAACAATCAAAAGCCATAACCCACCCCCACACACACACACATATTTCTTCCATGATGTATTCATTGATTGCTACTATGTGGGTCCTAAACCTTACTTGCCACTGTAAGCCATAGCATACCCACCACTGTAAGCTATAGCATACCCACCACTGTAAGCTATAGCATACCCACCACTGTAAGCTATAGCATACCCACCACTGTAAGCCATAGCATACCCACCACTGTAAGTCATAGCATACCCACCACTGTAAGCTATAGCATACCCACCACTGTAAGCCATAGCATACCCACCACTATAAGCTATAGCATACCCACCACTGTAAGTCATAGCATACCCACCACTGTAAGCTATAGCATACCCACCACTGTAAGTCATAGCATACCCGCCACTGTAAGCTATAGCATACCCGCCACTGTAAGCTATAGCATACCCACCACTGTAAGCTATAGCATACCCACCACTGTAAGCCATAGCATACCCACCACTGTAAGCTATAGCATACCCACCACTGTAAGCCATAGCATACCCACCACTGTAAGCTATAGCATACCCACCACTGTAAGCTATAGCATACCCACCACTGTAAGCCATAGCATACCCACCACTGTAAGCTATAACATACCCACCACTGTAAGCTATAGCATACCCACCACTGTAAGCTATAACATACCCACCACTGTAAGCTATAGCATACCCACCACTGTAAGCTATAGCATACCCACCACTGTAAGCCATAGCATACCCACCAGGTGTGAATCTCTGCTTGCCAGGGATGGGTTTTCACTCACCATTGGCTAGAACAATGGCATGGTATGATAGGGCAGGGCATAGTGTTTAACAGAGGATCATGGGGACATTCATCTTGGTTATTGTTTGTTATGAAGACAGTGATGTGGCCACAGACGTGTCACTGACATTGTTATTTAGTGGACTTGTTGGAGTACAGTGTTTATTATTAAGGGCTTGTCTCATTGTTGGACTCTTACAGGATACAAGCCCAAACAAAACTTACATGGGTTTCTTCACGTAGAAGTCAGTATGAATAGTGAACCTCCACCATTTGTGGTTAGATAGATAGCAGATGTAAGAGGGCTCTTAATACCAAATATCCTGTTTGCTGTCGCTCTGCATGTCCCATGTCTTGCTTCAGCTTTATTCCCATGCTTCGTTTCTCTCTAGTTTCTCCTTCAGTCAGTCAGTTGGTATATTCAGCTTTCTCCCTAATCCTGCGTCGGCCTCTGTTTCTGTGAAAGCCCTCATTTTACCCTTCTCCCTGCTCCCGTGCTGACCACAGACCATTGCCCAGTCGCAACGTACCAGTAAGATCCAAGGTGGAGTCACCTGTCCTCCATGGCCTGCTCCCAACCTGGATCTAGGGAAGCATCTAGAAAGATCCTGGCACTTGCATTAGGGCACAGTTAGTTCCTGCATTTGGATTTGCTGCATGGCAGTGGTTCAATGAGGTAGCTAATCCAAAACATTATACAAGTTAAGAGGCAGTGTAGGAGGGCCAGCAGGGTGTGTGGCCTGTCAGGAACTGCATGAAAATCTCAAAACAGACTAAGCAGGTTTACCTAGAGTTTTACATTTGCCCATTGAATTGTGTTGCCCCTGTGTACTGTGCTCAAACTGTTGTCTCATTAGACTCTGACCCCTGGCCTGACCTGACTCTGCTATTTGATTGCCCATGTGTTCCTTGCTTGGAGTGTGGTTTCTCTGGGGTCCACATACTGGTCTCCTATCTCCCCAACCTGAGGCTCACTTTGGAGCCATATCCCAATGATGTGAAATGGCCACACTGGATGAGGCCACTTGTTGGTTTGGTGCATGCGCACAACCATCATAGTGACAATATAGCCCAACTGAATGGCACACTTAAAATCCCATGGTTTGCTATATAATAACCTCTAATCCATGGTGTTTATTTATTTCAGTGCATACTTTGTTAAGAATAAACACTCCAAGGCTTTGTTATACACTATCTCATTTTCAGATCGTTCCGTCTATATGCGATCTTAATTTAGAATGCTGGATTTAGCTCTCAACTTTAATCCCACCAGTTTTTTATAACCTCTGCTGGTCCTCAGTCTCTCTACTCCAATTTTCCATCTTGCAGTCTCTTTTTTCCATCTCCCTTGCTGCTAACTAAATAGAGCTCTTGATGTGGAACTCTAACTGAAGTCTACATAACTGCAACAATATGTTAAGATAAATCAGCCAAATAACTTCAGCAGCCCGCCAAACCTACTGATTTTCTAGTTGAAAGAGTCAGAATGTCTCACCAGCCTCACGCTGAACACAGCAGCACCAGCAATGACTAATTGGAAGAATAATATTTTTTGTCACACTGGACGCTGCCCTCTGGCATTTTGATACAACCGTTAATGACATGCGCATTTCTTAAAATGCTAAAGCTGTGTTCCTGGCTGTTTTTTAAATGAACACCATTAATCTTCCTAGCTGTCATTGATATTTTATGTGTCATTTTACAGGGGAAATTTTTTAAAAAAAAATAATCAGCAACACTTGCTTCAAACGCTATAAAGACGAAAGTCATTTAGGCTTGTACCATTCATATTACATTGTCAATGAGATCGGAATGCCCCCCTTTCAATTAAAGAATGGTTTATTTATATAATGGTGAACTTTAATGATTTAAAAAAAATAATAAGCTAACTCCTGGGACACCCTCCAAACCCCTTACAAGAACCCCATCCACAACACAGGCAACATTCCCCCACCAACACTCAACGATAGACTGACATACCCGCATCCCAAAGGAACACCGCACCACACCCAAACAACATACAGATTCACCCACAAAAGCAAAGGTAGACCAACAAAACATCAAAAGTCCCCCAAGCAAGAGACACGAACAGAGAACGCAACAATGTGCAAATTGGACTCCCGGTACCCAATGAAAAATGGAAGTTACTTTTGAGCAAAAAGTTCATATACCACAAACAGTACATACATGACTTTCAAAGACGGTACCAAATACCTTAACCTCGGTTTTTCTTTCCTGTATTCCCACCCCGAACCAAGCTCTCTAAATAAAAATTATATTATAATACATCAAAGATACAAAACGCGAGGTACCGACGCTAGAAATGTTACCCCTTCTAACCTATTCTTCCACCTGTACCCCCTATTCTTCCACCTGTACCCCCACAATCCAACTCCCCCGAATCTGGTTATGTAAACTCATGAATCCACTGCTGTGATAACTGTAAAGCAAGCATTGTAAATGGAAATGTATAATAAGCATTGTAAAGGCAAATGTACCCTCACCCTCTTTCTTTCTGTACCCCCCTCCAAAAAAAAAAAAAGTTTAAAAATGTGATATAAATAAAGAACAAATAAAAAAATAAAAAAATAAAAAAATAAGAATAATAATCTAGATAAATTTAAACAGCTGACTCGGAAATCCTCCCCATAACTCACCTATATTCCCTGTTTAATTATTTTGACCTACATTAAAGGACCACTATAGTGCCAGGAAAACATACTCGTTTTCCTGGCACTATAGTGCCCTGAGGGTGCCCCCACCCTCAGGGTCCCCCTCCCGCCCGGCTCTGGAAGGGGAAAGGGGTTAAAACTTACCTTTTTCCAGCGCTGGGCGGAGAGCTCTCCTCCTCCTTCCTCCGGCTGAATGCGCACGCGCGGCAAGAGCTGCGCGCGCATTCAGCCGTCACATAGGAAAGCATTTACAATGCTTTCCTATGGACGCTTGCGTGCTCTCACTGTGAAAATCACAGTGAGAAGCACGCAAGCGCCTCTAGTGGCTGTCAATGAGACAGCCACTAGAGGATTAGGGGGAAGGCTTAACCCATTCATAATTATAGCAGTTTCTCTGAAACTGCTATAATTATGACAAAATGGGTTAACCCTAGAAGGACCTGGCACCCAGACCACTTCATTAAGCTGAAGTGGTCTGGGTGCCTAGAGTGGTCCTTTAAGCTCAGTATTAATTTCACCATAATTCACTCTTTTAGTTAACAAAAACAAACAAAAGAAAAAAACTTTAACATTTCAGTTTAGTGGAAAATAAAATTCGTAACATTCTTTTACAGTGATTTTTTTTAATCGTTAGTCATTATATCGGTTTCTATTAAAATAGACACATTACCCACTACGTACAGCTTCGAAAGTGGTGATTGTAGATGTCTGGAAGTAGCTGAAACCTTTTATCCAATTCTGATCCTTTTAAAGATATAATCCCATAAATCCCTGCTGACTATGTGTATAGCAGCACGCAGTGCTTATCAACCTGCTGTTTCTTATTTATGGGGAAATTAATAAATATTGCTTTAAAAAATATATTTTTTTTACTGAATAAGATGATGAACCATGATTTAGTGCTTTTTTTTATTCTTCTATATCTTCCCTTAAATCCTTGTTTGGAAGATTTTCTTGTGAAACGTACAGGCAGTTTGAGGCAAGAGGAGAGAGTTTATGGTACATGTTATTTATGCAAAAAAACATGCTCTGGACATGATGTGAAATTATTATTATTATTATTATTATTGCCATTTATATAGCGCCAATAGATTCCTTAACGCTTTACAATATTATGAGAGGGTGAATTAACTATAAATAAGACAATTACAAGAAAACTTACAGGAACGATAGGTTGAAGAGGACCCTGCTCAAACGAGCTTACAGTCTATAGGAGGTGGGGTATAAAACACATTAGGACAGGAAATAGCAGTCAAATAAGGTGGGAGTGAAGCAGAGCTGGAGAAGAGAGTAGAGTGCTGCCCTTTAGGAGAGAGCAAGAGACAGGTGTGTGAGGTAGAGGTTAGTCTGGGAGGTCATAAGCTTTCCTAAAGGTTTTAAGGCACTTCTTAAATGACTGAGGACATGGGGAGAATCTGATGGCGCTAGGCAGGCTATTCTATGGGAAGGGAGCCACCCACAAGAAGTCCTGCAAGCGCGAGTTGGCCGTACGGGTGCGAGCAGCGGACAGGAGAAGGTCACAGGCAGAGCAAAGAGATATATGAAGAATTGCACAATGTTCTATAACATGTATTCCTAAAACTTAGATACCTGGAATATCCCCATATTGGGATCAAATTATTGTTATTTTTCAAATAAAAGTACAAGAATTGTAAAACTAACATTTTCTTAGTTTTAAAAAATAAAATGTATTCAGAATCTCATTCTTGGAAGATATAATGTGATCAGAAGCAGACTGATATCTTTCAACTGGGAATATTTTATCCCAGGAATACAGAAGTTTAATACGGGTTCGAGCAGTTCCACTATTGTTTTCTTTTTAAAAAGAGTTTCCGAGCCCGGTCCAAAATTGTGTGTCTGTTTTCAACACCATCACAATTCAAAAAATAAAACCACACAATATTTTGCCAATCATATCTTTTATGTATGTCGTTAATCACACAATCTTAAGATTGATATTCTGGAACTGGGAGGTTATAATGAAACGTTTTGATTTGTCCGACTTTGTGATAGCATCATTGAGTATTGAAAGTCAGTCCTATCAGCTTGGATCATGAGCACAAACAGCGACAAATAAAGAAAACGTGGACCAAAGTCTTCATGTTTTCAAGGGAATTCTATCCCAGTCATTCATCTGACAAAAGATATTAATGAGTCATCCTTGGGCCATTTGATGATAAAGCAAGCAATGGACTGACCTTTCAGTTTACGCTTTGACGTGTTTTATTAGAAGTCCCTGTGTGATATTTGTTATACAGTATATTTTGAGTCGTCTTTCAAAGTACTTTGTATAAAAGTACTGTAATTTCTATATTGTAAGCTCACTGTCAGCGTCCGCTGTATATGTGTGTGTATATTGATTGCCTATATTCCCCAGTTGTGTAGAACTGCAGAACGTTTTTTTTTAGCTTTATAAATATAAAATAAAAATATATTAAATGGTAAAAATTAACCAGCATAGCAATTTGTATTTTTTTATGAAGCTGTTGCAAGGAACATGGAAAGAATACCTGTAGTATACCAAGTGAACTCAGAGCCACTCCCAGGCATTACGAATGGAGCCTTAAAATTTGACCTACAAAGGTTGCTGTATAATGTTGCCGGAGGGGGTTAAAGATTGGTATTACGGTACCATGGCAGAGATGCAGATAGACTCAATGGAGTCATGACAGAGGAATTCATTTCTCTGTTGGGTGAAAACCAGTGCTGGAGCAAAGGGGAAAAAAATGGTGCCTTATGTTTTAAATTTAGATTTTGATTGATGCAGGGAAGTAAGGGGTTGGTTAATTAATTAACAGACAGCTGGCTGATTGGGATTACGAAACCCTGTATTAAAAGATCAAAGTTGTATCCTCTATCATATCAATGTATAAATGATCTTATATATCTTATATTTCTTTATCGTACGCAAGCCCAAGCAGGCTATGCAGCAATTAGTACAATAAGCGAGAATGATTATTTAAAAATATTCAAATATTTAAATTAATTCAAAATTTATATCAACTTTTATTACAATGGATTTATTTGCTGGAACAATTATGAATATTTTAACATGTTTTACGGGTTCATAAAATACTAATGTAGAAATCAACGTGTAAATGGCTTCCTTGCTTAAATCCCTTTTTAAGTCATTAATAACAGCTTTGGTGTTGAAAAATATCAGTAACAAAAGGTTACGCCCCTAAAGGAACATTATAGCATCAGAACAACTTTGACTTCATGAAGTAG